AGCAGTCTCTAGCAGTGTCTCCAGTCCAGTCAGGAGTGTGTCAGTGTGTGAATTCAGGGGGAGTGTGAGAGGAGAGGGACAGCAGTGTGTCTAGCAGTGTCTCCAGTCCAGTCAGTGTATGTTGGTGAATTTAGGTCTGGTTATTAGAAGAGAAGGACCGTGGTGGTTCCTGGCAAAGAGACTTGTCAAGTATGGGGTATTACTGTACATCCATTTCAGTCTTCTGTTTAACTGTAGAGGTAAAAGGAAAAGGCATAATAGGAAAAAGTGATCTTTTGAATAACATCTCCACTTGACATTTCTGTCTATATACAACTTTGCTGATAGGCAAGAAATACCCAGCACCTGATGCAGACTTCATATACAAAAGCTGAGTGTCAGGAAAAGATTGTCAAATGCATTTAAATCCACAGTAGATCAGAGTCACCTCCAAGTTTCACAAATATTTTAAGCAGTATGACCCTGATTTTAAGCTATTCTTATTCATCACAGAAATAAATTAGAAATTGTTGACAATACTTTACCAATATTTTACCAATCAGTAAAATTTTCAAATAGATTGTTAAATTATTTACTGACAGAAAATACCTTTTATTCCCAGTGAGGTACACTGAATGTATACCATGCCATTAAATTGCTTGAGTTTTGAACATAATTTTTTTTCTCAATTTTCCTGTTTTAATGAGTAACATAATTAAACCTCTGTAGCATGCAGCATTTTGGTATTTGCACAGAACATTTCAGTTACAGTACATACAGTTATTGCAACAGAAACAGGAACTGCCTCTTCTTTGGAAACGCTTCCCAGGCTGTTCAGTATCATGATTGTGGCATGTTGATCCTGCAGTGTTCGCTAAAAACTCCATATTGTACTCCTGGGAAAATATTTTTTTATGTCATCTTTGTCTTTAACCCCTCCATCCCCATTAATAAAAATAAGAGAATAAGTGATGAGAAGACAAATTATACTGATTGTATAATGTTTTGCGTGAATTAACTGAACTGTAATTTAATGAACCTTCACACTGACCCACAAACACACACATATTGAGTCAGCATTTTTGTCATATTGCTGACTAAGTAATTAATCCTTTTTTGTAAAAAATGTTAATTGTAAAAAAAAAACATGATGACAACTCAATGAACCATTCTGACTTCCAAAGCAAATTGTCAGCTTATTTAAGATGAATATATTTTGTATTTTATATACAATTTTATATATATATATGCTTGGTCTAATCTTAGGTTTTTCACATTGTGAGCAATGCAGATTCAACTAGGATAGAGAGTAGTCTTCATGTTCTGAGAAAATCACTGCCTGCAACTCTCTGAGCAGGAAAATGTATGTTATAACTAGTAGTGTTAAAAAGGTGTATTTAATCATTTAGTCTTTCATCAGACAGAAAATTTCTGCAGTGAGATGGATATAAATTGCAGGAAAAAAATAACAAACCTTTGTAATGGATGCACAAAGAGAATTGAATAATTGAGTACCTTGCATTGCTTAAAATCCATTTACATGTACTGTAAATTCAGCACTTCACCTTACTCCGCTCTTGGTACATGTGCTTTTGAACATTTAGCAGTCTTCAGACTTAGAAAAAAATGGGTATTTGAGAGCATACAGAATCTGAGTCTGGCTTTGTAATGGAGAACCTTTAAATGGAGCAGCACTGAAACTATTCCAGTGTCGCATTCCAGAGTGACTCTGCTTCAGGCGGTGTCAGTGGAGCCCTGTCTGGACAATAGCAGCTCTTGTTCTGCAGTCTAGGCAAGCAGCAGAGTGTCGCGAAGCCGTTCGGAGAAGCTGGCGGTTGAGCTGGGACCAGCCGAGGAAGTTTGCTTAGGAAAGAAGAAAATGGAGTAGGTCTGCCAAACAAATGTGCTCTTTCTTCTTCTCCTTCACAAAATCGAGAACTCTCCGGAACAAACAACACATTAATCACCTATGTTTCATGTAGAGGAGGAAGATAAACTGGGAGCAGCAAATTTTTCAGATTGAGTTTTGCACTTTTAATTCATCTTGTCTCAAGATCTGATGAATTAATTTCATGTGTCCATTTCCCTGTTTTGTCTAGGCTTTATAGATTTGATCATGAGGATAAATAATGGATTGTTTTCCCATTTAAAAAAAAAATATTCTTAAGCTTGAATCCAGTTGAAGAGACAGAACAAATTTGTAAAATTTAGGGCTCAGGGTGGGAAAGAGACACATTGTACCTGGAAAATGCATTGCCTCTCATGATTTTATGAAGTGACAGATCTGGACATAACTTCCATTCGGACCACGATTGTTTAAACAGGAATAACATGGGATGTTTGGGATTGTCTTCAGATGTACATCAGGCTGTAGAAGTGCAGATAAACACTTGGCAGTTTTGTTGCAAAAAGATTCACACCAGTTGCTGTACCTGACTTGCAAGTCTTTATATATTTTTTTACTTGTCCCATAGATATACAGTGTCTCTAGCGGCTCCCTTGAGGCCAGCACACGTGCTGCGGTGTGCGAATAGGACAGATCCCATGGCCTTTGGAGTTCCCATCATGTCATTATCCTTAAAAGGCTACTCTAAAACATGCAGATCCAGTTTAATGTAGGCAACCCTGCCACACACTGGTGTGAGATACAACACCAAGCAATAAAGAGGATATTCAGCACTTCTCAGAAGTGTTAAAAAACCAGGGGAGGGCTATAGGGGAAGGCCAGCCAGTTCTGCTGCTTCATCTGCGCAGGCCGTAATTCTGCAACAGAGCAGCTCCATTGTCTGCTCAAGGGACAAAACCGGCTGGTGAAAGTTGAGAGAATCCTGAGTGGCAGAGGAGCGAGAGAACCTCCCCTTGCCCACTCTCGGTTCCAGACCGATTAAGGAAACTGAAGTGGTGCCAAAATCATCAATCTCAAACCATAGCCCTAGGATACAGCCTGGAGGTTTCTAGAGGGAGGATGTCTGGCTCAGATCAGTGTGAGGTACATTGCCTGTTTTTGTCTCAACCAAACTTTTAACTTACTTGTCTGGCCAAGCAGTGATAAAGACCAAGAAAATGGTTTTCCTTGTTTTACAAGGTTTCATAGCAGCAGGTCTGCCAAGTCAACGTGTCGACCTTCCTGTTCGTATGGACTGCACTCCTGCACACCTCCACTGTATCTTCTGTCTTAGTGATGTAACAAGTTATCTGTCTGACGCTTATGCTTGTGCTGTGAAAGAAGGAAGGTACATTGAGATTGTGCTTGAAGGGAGGGACATAAGACATTGTAACAATGATTGCAAAGTAATGCTCTACATAAGGAAGAGGGTGTTAGTGTGTAACAATACTGTACAAAGGCCTGAGTCCTTTGCTTGTATTCTGAAGAAGAGATGGACATCATTGTGCTGTTACAATTTAAGAAAATAGTTGATTTTCTGGATGTACAGACACATTCTATATAATAACTAAATTATATGTGGGGCTGTGAAGAAAATATTTAAAAATACTTACAGTATTTATGTTTAACTTAAACCATAAAACTATACGTTAAATGCAAGCAGGTGACATTCTGATTTTAACACCAAGAACACTGCCTGTCCAGAACAGGTTTTGTACAGCAATCAGTAAAAGAACTTAACTCCTGCTGAGTTTCCACCCATCCGTTTTCTAAGAACTTCTTCACCTCGCGGTCATGGTGGAGCCAGAGCCTATCCCAGGACAGGATACACCCTGAACAGGATGCCAATCCACCACAGAGCTCTCACAGACCGAGACACCTACTCACACCAGGGCATATTTTCCCAGAATCCAGTTAACCCACCGGCATGTTTTTGGACTGTGTAAGGAAGGCAGAGCACCTGGAGAAAACCTACACAAACACAGAGAGAACAAACAGACTCCACATAGATAGCATCCCAGGTCCTGAATTGAACCCAGGTCCACAGCACTGCAAGACCGATGTGTCACCACTCCGCCTCTGCTGAGTTCCCATTTAGTCTTTTTTGTGTGTCGTGTTTGACTGTCAGCCTGATCCCTACTCCCACAACCCTTTGTGGGGAAAAAATGGCTCCTGTCCTCAGTTTTAAATCCACTGACCCCATGATTCCCAGCTTCCACTGTCCACTGGTTTTCGAGTCCCTGTTGATCTTGAAAAACTTCCATTGGGATGAGTGTTTAATAACATTTGAGATTCTAGGCTCTTTGTCTCAAGCATCCAAAGTGTTTTCTGCACACTGAAAAGAATCACTTTTTTAACCCCTAAACTAGGGCAGCACGGTATCTCAGCAGTCAGCAGCTATGGGGCTTCAATTCCTAGGGTGCTACTATATCTGTATAAAGTCTAGATGTTCTCTCCGTGTTCATGTGGGTTGAAAGAAATACTGGTGGGTTAATTGTCTTATGGGAAAAGTGGCCCTGGTGTGAGTGTTTGTATCTGTCCAGGGTGTACCCTGCCTTCTGCCCGTTGCTTGCTGGGATGGGCTCTGGCTCCGACACTAAATTGGAAGAAGAAGTTAGAAAATGGATAGATGGTACTCTTATCCTACTGTATTGAGGTCACTGCTACGTTAAGAGGCATTGTGCCTTTCTTCACACAAGAAAAGCTCTAGTCCAGTCCCCAATTCCCCACCCTCATGTGACCCGTCTTCTGTCTCCTGTCCTCTGTGCAGGTGGCCCTGGGATGCGCTGCCTGACCCCCGCCAAAATCACCGCCCTCACCCTGAGCATCCTGCTGCTGCTGGGGGGGATCGCAGCTGCCGTCTGGGCTGTTGGTAAGGGCAGCGCCCACTTGCACCACACACACAGAGGTGTGCACCTCACCTCCCGGCAGTGCAAAACCAGAACCCAGTCGGTCCGTCAGCCTCCTCCTTTTACATAGCCCTGTTGTCAGTGCACTATATCAACCCAGAAGGAACAAAATTGACTTGGAAACATTTTTATTTGAAAGCTGCAAGTCCCATCTATAAATCCTTTAATAAGTGAAAGAGAGCTGCATAATATTTAATATAGTGCTAGGTAAGAGCTGACTCCATCTGGTTAAAATCTGCATGGTTATTCACACAGGTCAAATTCTTCTTATGCAAATGAATAGTTATTCATATTTATGCATCTATAAAGTGTATGTTTCTGATCATGTGCTAGCCAGCTCTTAGCCAACAATTTTTACACAACATATTATCTTTTTTTATATTTGATTGTGTTTTTTCCCTTATTTGACATTATTTTAAAATCCAGTCATTCAGTTTTGCTGTGTTTTTGATGGATTTAATCTCACGCAGCCTTGAGAAATGACTTTGTTCTACAATATACAATTGAAAATACCTATGGACACAATTGTTAAATACAGAAACGAGCACTATCCCATGTTCTAACAAATTAATTTTACTTATAAAGGGCTACAGAAGAGGTTTCTGCACAAGTTTGATCAGGGGTGTGTAAGAATTCAGGTTTTCGCCCTTGTGATACCATACTTTAAAGCTTAAATATTTAGTAACTGTTGTTTAATGCAGGGCTGTCCTGTCCCAGACCTGGAGGGCCAGCCAATGTGCACAACATTTTTCAGGTTTCTTTAAAAAAACAGCACTTGAAAAGCTGCTAAAAAGAAATCAAACCTCCCCTGATTTAATGTATTAAGCTTCGGATCCATTTATGCATGTTCTGTGCTGGTTGTTTTTGTTCTGATTAGAAATGTCTCCTTCCACTCTCGCTGTCTTGTAGAGAGAATCTTACAGATGAGAAAAAGCAAAAATCGGGGCCCAGCAATTAAATTTATTCCAAAATACTCCCGCACGCATTATGGATGTTTATTGTCCAAAGGAAAAATAATTAAAGTAAATGAGTGTGAAATGGAAAGGACAAAAGTAATTCAAGTCGTTTTCCATTTTTTTGTATTCCCAAACTGAATGTGACCAAAGCCAGCTGCAGATCCAACACTGTTTTTTCTGTTTTTGCAGTGACTTTTCTGATGAAGACGGAAGATCCAAGGTTGTATGATGGTAGGCACACAAAAACTGTTCCTTTTCATCACCCACTTGGACGGTATTTCTTTAATATGTGGACTTGTGCCTGTGCAAAACAAACAGCGCTCATTGCTGTGTGCACACTCTCTCTCCCCACCCCAGTCCAGATCAATCCGGCTGACCTGCGCCTCTCCGTGTTCGATCGCTCCGATGGCCGCTGGAAATTCGTCTGCTCCTCCAGCTCAGATGAGCTTGTGGCCAGGATAAGCTGTGAAGAGATGGGGTTCATCAGGTAACCCCTCAGACTTGCTCTCTCCCCTCAGCTCAGAGTGCTGGCATTCACAGACATACTGCACTTCTGCAAACATTAGGATCTGCAGCAACTGTTACCTTCCAACTACCAGAGAAATTGTGTATTTTCACCTTGTTAAAGCAGTGTTACATTCATATGCATCCTGTTGGTCTTTTATGTCATTTTTACATTATTGTGTGCATTAGCAGATCTTAATTTTAAATCTTTTTAAAATGTCCTTTGCTGGTCAAATATTTTCTGAAGTTAATTTAATTTAATTTCTGTACCCCTCTTTCCCCTCCCACACTCTCTCTAGGTCCCTTGGTTATTCTGTGCATCCGTTCAGCTCTGTCTCGGGCAACACTTCAGAAGGATTCTTCTGCGTGGATGAGAAACAGCTGGAGTTTGGAAAAAAAATCAAGGAGGTCCTCTCTGCCTGGTAAGGAAACCTTGGTCAGAACGTAGCTCACACTCAAACAGGCTTTGTCAAATTACAGGGCTCATCCTCAAAGGCTGAGTTTGTCAGGAGCTTCCAATTGTTGTTGTTTTTTTTACTATGAATAACCAAAAAATGTAATTTGTGTTTCTTAGTCACTAGGGTCTTCACACAGTGCAGAACTTAGTTAATTCATGTTAACACTGTTATGAGTAAATAGCCCATAATAAGATCTGTCTGTTACCGATCTGTAACTCTAGGCTTCTGCAAAGGGGAAGATCACTTGGTTGTAGCCATAGATGGCCATAGGCTCAGTAGCAGTCACTGGCCAGCAGGGGTTGCCTTTGTTGACAACATGGCTCAGCAGATAGCTTTGGGCGCATATGGACACTGTCACACTGTCACAAAACGGTCTGTGTGTGCTCCACTTTACAAAATTAATTGGGTCTCATGGGTACTTCCAAAGAAGGGGTTTAAAACTGAGATATGTTGGCTAAATCTTACTGAAATCCTATGGAATAATGTGCAATGGACAGCTCATTAAGGCATTTTTTCTGTGGGCATGTTTGAAGATGGATTGCTTTGTAAGCTGCTCATGTTCAATCGTCAAAAAGAAGAAAACTACTGCTGTGTCCATATCCTGGCCACAGCCTTCAAACCTCCTCCTGCCGTGAGCGTGCCATGCCCCTGACCCGAGACTGGCTGGCCAGGCCGACCCTCCAGCATTCCACCCTGTTTGTTTTTCTGGGGTGAATCTGATGCCCCTGCCACCCTCCCCTCGCTCTCCTCCTGTTATCACTAGCGCCGATAAACTTGTTCTTTTTCTCTATGCTGTTGGACTTTGGCCCGGTTAACATGCAGCTGCAAGCTGAATGTAAAATAAGCCTAAAACAAACACCTGAATTAATCTGTCCTGGCCATGCGCTCTGACAGATTTTAAATGAGGATCATCTGGATTCACACTCCAAAACAAAATAATTATTCCATTAATGATTTGTCTCTGAACTTCAAAGGAATCCAACTAGAACTCCACTAACACAGAAGCACTAGAACGCTGCTTCTTGATTCTGTTATCCAGATCTGCACTTCTGCTCACGTAGCACCTTCCAAAATGAGCAAAAATTGTTCTTTTGAGCTGTTTGGATGTTCTGGAATGCACAAAAGTACTAGCAACCTTAAAAATAATCCTAAACTGGAAGGCCAGATCTGAGTCCAAGTGTTTGTCTGATAAATTGAGGATGGTTCTTGGTCACCTCTCGCATCTTTTAAAAATGCCCAGCAAGGCATTGCCTCAGGATGTTAGATGTCCTGATGTGACTCTTTCTAAAAGCACATTCAACAGACAGTTACATCGCCCTCTGTGGTTCTGCTTAGTGAACGGAGTCCAGGGCTGTATAAGGTGTCTGATCTCAGTCTTGTGTTTCCGCAGTGACTGCGAGAATGGTCGGATCCTCAGTGTCAATTGTCAAGGTAAGTGTTGTTGGTCCTGGTAGGTAATATTATGCAGTGAGATATTTGTTTCCACCCTATTGTTTCTTGTGGGAAAAAAACTGTCTTCAGTCCACGCATAATGTATCTCTTAATTGGCTATACTTTAGCAATATTTGCCATTTTAAACTGGCATTTGCATTGCACTGGTCTTCCTACAACTTGTTTATTGAGTCATCTTGCAGTTGTAGTGAACACAGATACACGAGTACACGTGTGAAATATGTATTGGAAAATGTCATTTATGGAAGTGATCTATGAGTGTATTCCAGGAAGTTGCTTCCCCCCCACCATCTGTTTATTGAATCTTCCATTGTTCTTCATTGTGATTCCTCCCCTCCCTCTCCAATCCCTTCCACCTTCTCCACTCTCTCCCTCCCCTTCCTCCCCATGCCCCCGTGCCCAGACTGCGGGCGTCGGAAGCTGACAGTGGACCGGATCGTGGGCGGGGAGGACTCCAGCCTGGGGAAATGGCCCTGGCAGGTCAGCCTGCGCTATGACGGCAGCCACCTGTGTGGGGGGTCCATCATCTCCAACCGCTGGATCGTCACAGCAGCGCACTGCTTCCCTGAGTCAGTACGCCCCGCCGCCCGCCACAGACCCCCCTTCTGCTTCTGCCACGCAGCCCTGAGGGTGATGCTCAGCTGCCTTTGACCCTCAGCCCCTGGACTTTGTGTTGTGCCTTGGAGACTCAAACAGGGACAAGGGAACTGCTAAGACCGGGCTCCTAAGTCTCTTTGTGTGCAGCAGATCAGTGGGTCTTGTAGTGCTGCTACAAATTGATAAGCCTTGGCTGAACTAATTTACCTCTCTGCCCTAGGCCTTGTGCTGCTGCTGATTTGATCAGGGTACAATCATTGCATCCAAAAGGGGAACCTGAAGCCCAGAGCCGACAGCCTTTTACCTTACTTCTATCTGCTGCCTTCGGTTCGGTTCATGACAAAACCTTTAGATGTGAGGAAAATGTGCATAGAAAGAAAGTGAAAAGAATAGAGGGAAGGAATTATTGATGAGCAATTGTGCAGTACAATTACAGGAACATTTACAAGTTTGAGTGGAGGAATGGCTACTTGTGAGTCACCTGATCTGCATCTGAACCTTTTAACTCTCTTCTCGGTATCCTTATCCCTCCTCACCCCTCATCCCAGCCCATGCTGACCACTTTGCCAGCCGTCTCTGGCTTTCCAGGCTGATCCCAAGCTCTCCCCTCTCTTCCAGGAGGAACCGCCTCCTCGACAGGTGGCAGGTGTTCATGGGCTCCATCCACATGAGTTCCCGGGGGCTGGTCCAGTCCGTCCAGACTGTCGTCTACCACTCGGGGTACCAGCCCTTCATCGACCCCAACGTTGATGACAACAGCAATGACATCGCTGTCATCGCCCTCTCCGCGCCTCTGACCTTCTCGGGTAACTAGCTGTCAAAGTCTGTGTTGGCTCGTTCTACATTATTTTACTAAGTGGTGTGATGAAATAAGTGCCAAAATAACTGGGACAAATCGTATAATTTAAATATCCTCTACAAACAAAGGGTTGTAAAGAAGCCCAAGAGCATTATGGAGTGTGTGACTCACCCCAAACAACATGAACTAACTCTCTTATCTCCTATACACTATTGCACTGTTTTCTCTGTTGGCAATGTTTGTGTTCCTTGTTGTATTGGACTGTGCCACAAAACTAATTTCCCTCAGAGGATAATAAATCTTGAACCAAATTGAAATGTTGTACTGCCGTGTCTTTGGAGCTCATTCTCTTCTTGAAGGGTCCTTCAGGAACTAGCTGGACAAGATCCTTCAATCAACTTCAGGCAGACAAGACGTACCAAATGACTCTTCAGCTGTGTTATGTTTTAAGGAACTTGATTGATTAATCGAATTCAACAATTGCTAAATTTAAGCAGTTGAAGTATTTCTTTGTTCTTAAGAAGCCGTAGATTTAAAGAGACATAAATTAACCTACTGGACAGCATCCCTTAGGGACCAGAGCTGGCATCTCTGCACTCATCCAAATCCTCGGAACATCTTAAAATCAATTAGCATCACGCAGAAGATGACATAACATCATCACTGTTTATTTCAGCAATATCAGCCAGTGCACTGCACGTGCAAGACAAATACGTTACAAGAGAATGATGGGACTGTGGACAGAATATTGTATATAGTATCTTTCCCAACTAATTTGTAAAAAGATGTTCATGCCCTGAGCATAATCAAGGCAGACTTATCTACATGGTCATCTTTACAAGTTACACCTTTTCAATGTTAAAAAAATAAACAGGAACATCTATAAAATTTGCTCTCCTGATTTCTGATTTCAAATAGTTCTACCAAATTACATTGCTCTAATGCAAACATCCATTTGGACAAATTTGTTTTGTGCAAAAATAGTTTCTTTCATTTTGTTCATTTTTATGGTTTCTGAATAGTACGTATACTTGTCTTTTTTTAGGCTGTTGTGTTTGCTAAAAGTGCAGCAGAATTATAAATTGTGATCTGCGGCTTGTAGCTGTTTCAGGATCTCATCTGATTAGCAGAGGAAAAAACAGAGAAGACACTGAAGACTAATGCCAGCTTGGCAGTAAAAAAAGAAAAAGAAAAGCCCCTTAGTAATGCAGCTATCAGATTTCAGGTCAATCTTTGGAACAAAGACTTCTTTTTTTACCTTGCAGAGGCTGCATAATTTGTGTGGTTCCACCTGCTGTCTAAGACCACAATTACAAGGACAGTGATTTCTTAAAAGGTCTTTGGGAGGGTTTTGCCATAATTCATTCATGACAGCAGTTTCCCTCCTCTTAGTAAGAGACCAAGATCAGTAGCAGTATCACTTGGTATTTATGTTTAGTATTTGGAAAATGAAGCCTAAACAAACTCCTGTGATGGGTTCTGAGATTCTCCACAGCTGTGCCAGTTTATTAGCTCGAGAGATTGTGTCTTTACTGCACTGCATCAGTTGCAGAACATTTTAGAAATTATTGTTGCCAACTATGTTGTTCATAACTATCCTGCAAATTAAGTTTCCCCGCTCTCTAGTGTAAAAGCTGTTTCAAAAAGCAATGCTTCAGAAGTATTTTTTTTCAAAGTGTTTATGGCCCACACGCAGAACTCTTGCAGTCTCTGAGCCTTTGCTTTCACCTGCAGTTGCAAAGAGCCCATAGTATAATATTAAAACATTTTACACATCTAAGTATATTTAACTTTTTTTGCGTGTTCTCCCTCCCTAGACTATATTCAGCCGGTGTGTCTGCCAGCTCTCAGTCAGTCTCTGATTGATGGGAAAGTCTGCATGGTTACGGGCTGGGGCAACATCAAATACTACGGTAAGTGGCAATGTCCAACATGCACCAGTGCGGGTGTCGTGTTCCCTCAGTGCGCGTGCACCAGCTCCCTGTGGGGTTCAGAGCAGAACTGAAACTGTCGGTGCTGCTTTTCAAAGAGCTTCAACAGCTCAGCTTGTGGCTGCTGTACATCCCGCTTCTCTGCATGCCTACACTGTCGCTTGGACTCTGCCTTCATTCTGTTCCCAAAAGGAGGATCTGTTGAAATCTGGATTTCTCTTCTGTCGCTCCCAGGCTGTGGAGTGAGTACCAGTCCCAGTCAGTACCAGATCTTCCTTTTCTATTCCTGCTTTTAATCCCATTTAATTTGCTGTATTGATTGATGTATGTCTTCCTTAATTGTTTGAATTTACAGCACCTTAGGATGATGTGCCATGATGTAATCTACTTTATATAGTGTGCTATTACTTCACCTTACAGAATTCAGGACTGTATAGTATTATATATGCCCACAGATATCATCTAACACTCTGCAACTCACTGAAGCTCAGCAGGTGTGAGCCTGGTCAGTACCTGGAAGGAGACTCCTGGGAAAGCTAAAGTTGCTGCTGGAAGAGGTGTTAGTGGGGCCAGTAGGGGGCGCTCACCCTGCAGTCTGTGAGTCCTAATGCCCCAGTATAGTGATGGAGAACCTACACTGTAAAAGGGCACTGTCCTTCAGATGAGACCTAAAACTGGGGTCCTGTTTCTTTGTGGTCCCTAAAAATCCCAGGGTGTTTTTCAAAAAGAGTAGGGGTGTTACCCTGGCTTCCTGGCCAAATTTCCCCCTGGCCTTTCCCAATCATGGCCCCAGAATAATCCCCATCACTGAACTGGCTTCATCACTCTGTTCTCCCTGGTAGTGGTGGAGGGAATTCCGACTACCTGTAAAGTGCTTTGGGTGGAGTGTCCAGAAAAGTGTTATATAAGTGTAAGGAATTATTACTGCTGATAGGATTGGCTTACTGAATATGCCGAGCCATAGCGTGCCCCTCCCACTGAGTCCTGTGTCTCATGGCAGTGCGGGAGGGTGACAGATGTGGGAATAGTCAGGTTGAGGTTGTGCTGGAAGTATGAATAGTTCAATGATTTGGACAGCAGCAGTTCACAAACCAGGAAACCAGATCAATCGCCAAAGATTGTCCACAAGATCTCCCTTTCACCACCACCACCCCCCCAAATAAAATAGAAATGAACATATTTCATGACAAAATTGGAAAACCCAAATACTCAGTAACAGGAGCCAACTTTCATGCCATCCTTATTCTCCAGGCCAGCCGTCTGACATCCTGCAGGAAGCCAGCATACCGGTCATCAGCGACAGCACCTGTAACAGTGAGGATTACTACAGCAACCAGATCACCAGCAGCATGTTCTGCGCGGGATTCTCCGAGGGCGGAATTGATGCCTGCCAGGTATGTGGTGTAGCCATTTTATCGTAGCATATCCCAGGTGCCCATGACAGAGAGTGGAGCTGCTCACTGATTGCTTACCACGACCCCTGCTGGGCATACGTGGTATAGCAGTCTCTGTAGTTAAAACCACATCTACGATCCCCCTTGCCAGGAATTATCTCTTTAGCAAAAGTGTCTGGCTGAAAAGCTGAGGTTTTGAATCCTCATTCCAGAAGGACCGTTTTAATCACTCACCCCTCATCTCACTCCTGATACAGCTTCACTCATGTGAAGTTTGTTGTGAACAGCAGAGTCAGTGGTGCAAGCTAGTGATGACTGTATAATTGGAGGAGTTTAATAATCAAGATCTTAGCCTTACTGGCCAGGAAAGGCCACAGCATGTGTCCCTGAGTTGGAAAAACACAAAGAAGTTCTCTAGCAGGTGATCAGCTTGTCCAACGTGCAAGTCAGAAGAATTAAAAACCTTGGTGCCTGACCGAGGAAGCAGACTTATGGACGTAAAACTCAAGAAATGTCTATACATAGAGTGACTCATGGGTCTGGAATAAAGGCAGCCACTCTTCCAGACTTGGAGTGCTGTCTGTTTTGAGTTTTATGTCCTCCCTGTGTTAGCTTGGGTTTCCTCCAGGTGCTCCAGTTTTCTTCCAAAGCCTGAAGACAGGTTGCTGATAGGTTAATTGGCTTCTGGGAAAATTGGCCCTGGTGTTACTGTAAGTATGTACACATCTGGGTGTGCCCTGCAGTGGACTGGCTTCTTGTGCAGGGTGTACCCTTCCTTGTGCCTGTTGCTTGCTGGGATAGGCTCCAGCTCACCCGTGACCATGAATTGGACAAAGTGGTTAGAAAATGGATGAATCACAGGATGCGTAAATGTGGTGCTGTGTGGCTCCGCAGGGGGACAGCGGAGGGCCGTTCGTGTGTGAGGACTCCATATCCAAGACCAGCAGGTGGCGCCTGTGTGGGGTAGTGAGCTGGGGTACAGGCTGCGCCCTGCCCCAGAAACCAGGGGTCTATACCAAGGTCAACCACTTCCTGCCCTGGATCTCGACTGCCATGAGGGTGAGAGAACATTTTACTATAATTATTCATATGTCAATATTTATTTTCAGATTTTCTGGGCACCCTAATCATTGGCATGTAATGGTATGCATTTACAGTAAAGTAAAACACACAAGGTGCATATTGTACTGTAACTGGTTTCTGAAATTACTTTGTAATATTGCCGCTGCTGCTATGAGAGCAGCGATCCCAAGTTGTAAGGGGAGCCCAAATGCCGGGCGGAGCAGGAGGAGGTAGGCAGCACATCACAGGTAGACAGAGACGAGGGACAATGTGGAAGTCCACAAACGAGGCAAGCCAGCACAGTTCACTACCAAGGAAAGGACTCAAGAGCAAAGCCCAGGGAAAATCCGAGGGCAAGTCCAAAGTGAAATGAGGTCAAACGAAGCAAGGGTCAGAATCCAGAACAGAATCGAAGCAAGAAACACGTCTCTTCTGATTCAAACCAAACGTTAAGACTGAGATAGAGTCATGAGAAGGCAGATCTTCAATTGTCTTGAGCAGAGGTGGAACACACCTCCAGCCTCAGCATGTAGTCACATTAACCAGCTGATGAGTACAGTTGCTGTAATAGTTAGGGATTGCAATTATTAAAGTTAAAATTGTTACAACATATAGTATGTGCTACATGCAAAAACTGCTGAAGAAACCCTGTCTTGAAGAGTTAAACACTGTGTGTAATGCATTTACATCTTAGATGTATTAATTTGGCAGACACTCAAGATCTACTTGAATTAGAATACTGGCTTTACCACTCGCAGTCTTTCCCATGTGACCAAGTATTTGATTAGAAGTAGTTTTGCAGCCCTGAAGTGGATAAAGTGGTTGGAAGATGGATGGAATTGCTTTATTGTAACTGGTCATTTTACCCTGCAGCAAAACTGGTTCAGAATTGCTACTGCAATACGCAGGTACCCGGAAAGTACTTGGGCTTCTCATTGTCCACTCCATTTTGATCATACAGTAGCTCCTGTGTATTGTCCTTGGGCTTTTCCCAGCTTCCCAGACTTTTTCTACATGACCACTTCATTTCTGATGCGCATGTTTCAAAGTGACGGTGTGCTGGATACGGGTCAGTCCCGCAGCTTTCAAGGGGTTGTCAACCCACCAGGCATATTGTTTTGGGGGGCAGGGGGGTTATGAATAATTTGACCTTACTGCTCAGTATAAGAGGAGGCTATGCAAAATTCAGTCCCACTGTCACCAGCGGGGTTTGAATGCATACTGGAACAGACACTATTTTACATCATATATGCATGTGTTCTGTATATATATATAACAGCCAATCCCAGTTATTGTTGTGACAGCAGCTGTGTGGATGTACAACAGTTTTTGCGATAGTCACACCTCCACACACCCCCATTCAGTCTCTTCATTTCCTCATTCCCTCATGCTTTGCTGTCTCTTTGCAGACCTACGACCAGAAGCCGGGAGTGTACAGCATGGGCTAGCCATCCTCAACCCTGTTCACCAAAAGACCTCTTCTCGTTTTCACGGCAGGGACATCGAACTGACAGAATCGCCCCATCCCTGCCCTGTCCTCTCCATCCCCATCTCTTCAGCCACATCCACCTGCCACCCCCACTCTAATCACCTGGAGTTTCAACCCTCAGTTGCTGACTGGCCAACAGACAATTGGAGGAAATGGCTGGGGTCTGACCATGAGCACATGCGCACACAAGCTCAAACTGAGCAGGAAAAGATTAAAGGAAGATTAGAAACTGTGATTATCTGACCACCACAAATGAGAGGACTCTGTGGTTAATTTTAATTGCAGTTTTTATCTGTTGAAGCTATTCTTAACTACTAGGATGAACTAGGTCCCCATATTTCATCGTTTGTGATCACTACGATCACATTGTAGCAATGGAATCGATTCTGAAGCCAAAAGGTGCTAGAAGGAGGGGAGTCATTTGAAGGTGACACATGAATCTCCATCAGCCTACAAAACAGTAATGTGTCCTTACAAGCCAGTCACACCCTTTTGTTTATTTAGTAGGTATTTGCTTTGCCATAAAGCTAATCCCGTTAATGGAGGAGTGTCTGTAGACTGTATTCTTGTATTATTTTTCCATCCTTAACTATTTAGATTTATAAATATTGATAGTGATGCTATGAGATATTGTGATGTGAAGGTTTGAGAAAAGAGTTCTCAAAGCGAATGCCAGATCATGCACAAGGGGAAGCTATTTAATGTTGCACAATGGTGAAAAGCCGTAGAATCAAGGTCTTGAACTCGTGAAATGCAAAAATACGTCCCCCCATTGACTAATTTGCTCTCACTACATCGAGGTAATTTTTTTCTTTTTTTTTAGTGTTTCCCGTGCTAAATTGCTACTCCTTGCAGCGTTTTGAGAACTTGTACAACAGTTGTACTTTAAGGGAAAAGTTGCTCATTGCAAGCAATAAAAAGACAACTTAAGGTGAGGTGTAGGCAATGCATTAGAGTACACACTACAAAAAGTGTGGACAATACAAATTGCTTTAAATTATTGCTCATAGCTCTACTGAGCTTTTTTTAATAAAATTATTCTGTAAATCGCTTTTAATCTCAGCGCTTACCTCTCTGTTAATTAGACAGAGTTTGCCTTGTCTCTGATTGTGCAGGAGTGTGTATATGTGCACACTAGTGTGCGGGTGTGGAAAAGGGGGCCAGGTGATGAAGCGATGTAAGATGTGTGAAAGCTGCTACTGTGATAGTCTTGCCTTTAAATTATTATGTATTCATTTTATTAGCTTCCTTAAATCTGTTCTGCTGTTGAGCCGTACTGCATGGGAGCTGTGTCATTCTTTCTTTCTTTACTCTTGCCTCTCGGCACTGAGGCGTGTAAGTGTCCCAGGGTATGTGCACTGAGAGCACAGGACCTCCATTCTGCTGTGGGGGAGGCCCCACCCAGCAATGCTGGGATCCTTTTATACATTGGATTCAAGAAAAGAGTGCCTTAAGCAAGGAGAGTCCAGTCTGAGGTGATGAGTTTACCAAACGAAGCTCAGAACAGCCTTGCATCGGAGACCTGAAATGCTGTTAAAGTTCTGTCCCTCGAAACCATGTAAAACCACTATAATGGACAACAGAAATTATTTTCCAAGAACAGTATGCTAATATTGCTCTGTGGTTTAAAATCTATCCATTTTGGTTTAGTAATTGTTAACTGGGAAAGTAGACAGAGGCTGTCCCTGCTTCTACTTTAAAGACTCGCTGCAACTCTGCAAATGTGAATGGTGACGGTTTCATGGCAAGAAGTGCTGTGTCACTGCCACTCTGGCCCTGGGTTCGATTTCAGCAGGGGGCCTCTTCTGTGTTTCCTTAGTGTGCTTGTTCTCCCTGTGTTCTCGAGGTGCTCCGGTTTCCTCCTACAATCCAAAGGCAAGTTGTTTGGATGAACTGGCGTCTTGATTGAGCTGTGCAAGTGTGCGGGCTGATGGGCTGAGGGTGTATCCTGCCTTGTGCTCTCTGTCTGATGGGGTTGCTAGTATTAGCCTGAGCAGTTATTGAAAATACCTGATGATGTCAAGATGGCTCAGTGGCATGGTGGTAGCAGTGTTGCTTTGCAGTAGGAGAACATTTTGATTCCACACTGTGTGGGCTTTGATGGCCACCCCACATGCCCACACTGGCCATGCGGTGGACTGGTGTCCTGCCCAGGGAGCAGGTCTACCTAGCGCCTGCATTTCCATTATAGGCAATAGGTTGCCATGACTCTTACCAGGATCAAGCAACTTTCCGATAAGGAATGGATGAAAATGAGAAGGTAGCATATGGAGAATGTTTTGTCCAAAGATGTGATGCATGTAGCACTTATTTTTTCATTCTTATTATTTGAAATGGTTGATAATTAAGCTTCTCCCAGAGCGAATGATATACTGTATCATGGAGAGCAGACAATGGGTTGCTCATTGCTTGTCCAGATCTTGGAAGGGTGGTGTTCTAAGAACTGTGTCAGAGCTACTTTTTGGAAGTTGTCAGTAAACTGGCTCCACCAGCGTTGTGGGTCAGTGCTCTGCATACTCAAGAGCCAGAGGTATACAGTTCCTCCCCTTTCTGAGACCTGAAGCTCCTGCTCTTCCATTTGTGATCTTCCAAACGTTCTCCGCCACATCTCATCCAGATGCCTATCGAGCTGGCAGAGCCTGCGGCTGTGTCCATCTGTAGATCATGCTACTGTAATGCTGTGTGTCTGACTATGCTGCAACCCTCTGGCCTTGTTTGCCTTGAAATGCTAAAAAAGCTGCACTTTGGCCCCCTTGACTTGCCAAGCAGCTGTCTGAATTATGGTTCGCTTTATGTGTAATCCACTTAACTTAGAACACAGAATCTCATCTAGGCTATTGCAGACATAGGAAATTATTAATGCAGAAAAATTATTGTTTCAAAGTAATGGTATTGCTCCTGCTTTTCTTACTGTCCACCACACATGCAGTAGCCTCTCAAGTACACTTGCCAGAAAAGGCCGAGCCAAAGGGGGTGTGTTGGAAGGAGCTGTATCGCCGGAGCCCAGTGCCAGGCCAGTCTCCTCTCCAGAGCGCTTCCTGAAAGACCCCAAAGCTCTTGTGACACGAACAGGTCCTGCTGTACCTTAGAAAAGCCTAGAATCACAGTGTCTGTAACAAGAAGAGAAAACCAACTGGAAATGCAGGCAGTATAAACCGTACCTTCAAAGAGCATGTTTTGCACACTGGTTCTTTTTGTCAATAGATATTGGTATTATTCTTTGTATCTTTTTATTCTTTCTTGTATATATTTGAAATGCAAAGGGCCTCCTTCTGTTTGGTTTAAATTTTGATGTCTTGGGCAGCCTTTTAGTGTGGTTCCCGCAGCTTCACTCTCCAGGGCTCATAAGAACTTTGCTTTCACATGCACAGATTTGGAACAGTGAGTTACTGTATATGTATGGTGAATTTGTTTGTTTATTCAAGGGGATTGTAATGTCCCAACAAGCAGAACATTTTTGTAAGCTTGCTTATTGTATTCATTTTTTTGTTGTTGTTTGGACACTTGCTTCCTTCCAACTTTTGTCAAAAATGTACAGTTTGCCCAGTTTTTAAGACAACCAGATCATGGGCATAGACACCTATGTAGAGCTGATCAAGCAGAGCTGAAGGAATAGTGCATGAGGCTGAGAGAACATTGACCCAAACTGAAAGAGGCCCCCTGTAGACGCTCAGTCCTGTGGTCATGCTACTGTGATATCATCCTTTTTAGAATGTAATAATTTTTCTGTTTTCTCATTATGCATACCTTGTAACCGTGTTTGTTTTTATTTGTAATATTGGTGAATCTTTAAACTCAAAATTGTTCAACAGGATCTGCAGCCTCTTGTTCATTTCGTTGCTTCACCCAATTTCAAAAGGCAGTGGTTGGAGGGGCACAATTCCACCCACGTGGTGCCTCCCCCTCAAACCGTCTCTCGGCCTCCTTACTCCTCTGGTTTGCCTGGCACTCCTGCACACACCTGGAGAGCCTTCACGTCCGGATTCTCTTCCTTTGTTTCACTTCTCGTGAATGAGCTTCAACTTGTTTTTTTATATCTGCCTAACCACCAAAATGCAGACATGTTCCTGCTGTAAGAGTTTACCCTCTCATATCTTTCTTGTGGTCCCAAGGTATACCTCCCTAATATAGTAGACATTATTCCTTTAGTGTTCCTTCATATCTTGTTCTTTTCTACTTTTTCGATTATGGAAATGGTTTATGGTTCCTCTATAATTAACCTATAGATTTAATGACTAAAGACCTGAATGCATGTTGATCATCAATCATAAGGTCATAAGGATACAGACTTGCCCTGGCATGATTAAATTTGACCCCTGCGTTAGGCAGGAGGGGTGGCAGTGTGAGAAATATGTACTCCATTCCTTATAAAATAAACCAAGTAGGACTGATTGTGCAGATCTGAACATGTATACTGTATCACCCAGGACTGGAGAGGAAACAAGACTCCAGGTTAGGGCTACAGGGAGATCGGCTATCGATCCTGTGGCCCAAAGTCATCAGTACGTCCTATTAACTTATTAAGCCCTACCCTAACAACCCCACTTCACTATCCAGCAGACTACTATCCAGTAATCGGTCTTGAGTAAGTGTCCTGCATTCTGGGTGCTGCTTACTCAATTACTATCAAAGAAACCTGAAAAGGGAAAAGAAAATAATATCCCACCAAAGCCACCATAGCAGGTAAGACAATTTAAAAAATATTGTTCTTATTCTAGCAGTTTGCTTCAGACTTAAGACAAATTTTGGTTCATATAATGTCTTTATGCCGTTTTATCTTTCTAGAAATCTGTTTACAGAAGCTGTGATTTTAGGATGTCAGAACAGGAGAGGTGAAGGCAACACGTCTGATGATTAGGATTAGGGAGCTGCAGAGCGAGGAGAGCTGCCCTTTTCTCACTGCCAACCCAAGCACTAGGGAGCCTGGGAAAACCACCAGGGGGTGCTGTTGTGAAGCAAGACAAGGACATGCTTTCTACTTCAACCACCAGTGCTATTGACTCAAGTGTAGGGGACACATTCTAATTCAAGTGCACCCACTGCCACTGTGGCCTCAGCACTCAGGGAACACAGCTCAGGAGTCCAAGTCATGCTTTTAAAAACTGAGCTTCACAGTGATATCGTTACTGAGCACCAGTAGGGTGAGAGTTGTTCTTCAGATTGTGCCCGCAGGTGTGTTTCTCTTCTAACTGTCTCTGTCAGTTTATGGTGCTGAAAGATGCACTTCCTCGTTCCCTGGATATTGAAGGCAATATTGCCCATTGCACACAGCCAAGTCTGTTGTAATGGGCATTCCAAGAATACAAGATTAAATATCAGAGAAAAAAGCTGATTTACAATATGATCTTGCAAAAAGCAGTTTGCTTCAACATTTCCTCTTGAAATCATTGGCTTCTGCCACAGGCGTCTGGACTCGGATATTTCAGCTCATGTGAATCTCGGATAGACAGTTTTCAGTCCCAAACATCCCCTGGGCTGTTCTTCTGAACTACCATTCCAAACACAGTATCTGATTAATTTAACACACCTTTTACAGTTTTTGTTATTTTTAAGGCAGGTCTCCCCTGTTGTGATCATGGCAACACCAGTGTCTGTGTCAATTTGTGTTGTCCAAAACTTAGTTACTCCCTTAATTGTGTTAATCACTTAATACTTTTCCATCATTTTCACCTGCCACGAATAGCTGAATACAGTTTAAATGATGAGATGTTCGTTCAATTACATACAGTATCTTAGACTGCTCTGCTCAGCCTGCACTTTTGTTAAACCAAGCAGGGAGAGATTATACTGCTAAATGCTGCTAATCTCTGGATTCAGTCATGTCATTGCTGTGTGAGCCCAGTCTGTGCTTCCATTGCTGCTGAGGCTTAAGATGGCATTTGCCTTGCAAATCACCTCATAGATGTCTCTGGAACTCAGAAAACAAGGTAGGTGGGTTGAGAGGAAGAACAAGGACATTGCACTTGTTATAAACCCTGATCTGATGCCAATACCCTCCAAATGCACTTCATAGAATTTCCCATATGGCAAAATGTTTAAGGTAGCATAATTAATTTTCAGTTTTCTATCTTCACTCAATTGAAGTGTGCATAAATGATGAAGCACCATCCCAAAATTCTTGATAATTTACTTGCTGTTTTTTTAAGAAGGTAGTTTCCAAATCCTGACCCCTTTGACTATGCCCATCATCTGATTTTGTCACTAACCAAACCTCTCAGCCACTCATGATTATTTCCATTGAACCCCATGCGGGTCCTTCCCTGGAATACCCAAAAGGGGAAAGCGCAGTGCAGGGGCAGAGATCTTGAGTGAGGCCAGGAAGTGAAAGCTGACATCACATAGGCTCCTGGGCCAGCTGCTCCCTGCAGCATCGTGCAGCAGATCCAGCCTGTTCTGGCTTATTTGACTTCTGCACATCCTGCTTGCAAATCACAGCTTTTGCATTTTGTCCCGGCAGTGAGCAGAGGGGGATCTGTATCCCCACTGGTGTCCGGTTGCTCCACAGGGACGTGGGAGGAAGACTGGGCTTAAGATTACCCCTTCTGGACCCTTCCAGTCCAGGAGTCCACGATCGGGAAACCAGTTACCAGGATTTGGCTTTTCTGGGAGGTCTGGGGGTGGCAGACATGGGAGAAATCATGCATCCCGGACGGTCTCGTCTCTGGCTGGCCATCTCCATGGCTGTGGTCCTGCTCACACTTCCCGGCTCTGCAGGTATGCCTTCCCATCTTGTCTCTCAGACCCTCAGATCCTCTGGTCTTTAAATGCAGGGATCGGCAGCCAAGATCTCAGAGACTTATATGGGCTCAATGATATTAAATTGGGCATAGAGGAATTATGATGCTTGAGTTCTTTAAATAATTATATAGAAAAATGACCATACATGCCTTTAGAACATACTAATGTCTACCTGATGTGGCTCCTTCATTTTCTGTTTCTATAGTCCCCAGAACTACTTCCAGAACAGCAAACTAAAAGTACTGTATCTCCCTCCCAGATTACATCAGAGAGTCTTTGAAGCCAGCATTTCAGCTTTCATGCAGTTCTCTGAGGATCTAAATAAAGCAGTCCAATAGGGTACTGTCATTAATCTGAATTAATGGACCAGAGGCCTAAAGAGAGATTCAAAGTGTTCTCACACTCAGCAAGAATATTCAACCTGCTACATCATTGTTTTCTAAAATAACTTTTCAGTTAAGTTCTTTTTCAAGCCGGTCATGATCAGTAAGCAAAACATGCAACATTCTAGACCTTTAATTTTCCTTTGCTTCAGCCATCTCCAGCATAAAAAAAGCTATTATCATGATGCTTGATTTAATTTTATTTGGGTTTGGGTTTCACTCTATTTGACTCTGACACTTTCAAGTAAAATCAATGTTCTTGTCTACCCAATAGCATGCACATGTACTGCTGGTCCAGACCATTCTTGGCTGACCCACAATTTTGTGTGCGGTCATGCCACTGGGTGGAGTACTAAACTATTTAAAAGAAGAACTGTTTACTGCAAGCCAAGGTTAACCAAATTTCATGGCCTTAAAATCCATGACGGTGCTTCTACAGCGACTGACTCAGCGTCAGTGCAATTACACATTGGAGAGACTGGTCGTATCTCCCATGAAAACTTTCACTATTTGATTATCTGGGGAGGGGAAAAGGAGTTACACAGGAGGAAGCCCCACGGAATAGTTGAACCCCCCTTCACACAAATAAAGCCATTTCCCTGACAAATGAAGGAGGAGACAGAGGCTCCAGTCTGCCCTCTGAGGGCCTGCTTCTCAACACGGAAGCAAGAATTTTCTTGTAGAAGCTCAAAGCATTTCAGAAGCCTGTTCTCCTTAGTAGTTACTGAAATACAGATGAGGAACTTGAAAAATCATTAGTTCATAACAGCTGAAACACTGCATTTTCCCCCTCTAACTTATCTGCACTGGACGTAGATTTTACTTCCATCCATCCCTTTTTCTAACCACTTTATCCAGTACAGGGGCGCGGGGGATCCACAGTCTATCTCTGCAAGGAGTGGGTACAAGGCAGGGTACACCCTGGACAGGATGCCAGTCTTAGACTTGACTTGCTCCTTGAAATATCTTGACTTGCATTCTTGGTAGATTAAAACATGGTTGTTTAATGTTTGCGTGCTCTTTTATATTTTGGATTTTGAAGTTGGATGAAAAGGTGTGGCTTCCTGATTTTTTGGTTGATTCATTGTCTTGGCTCTTCTGCCTGCAGAGGAGTTCACCACCCCCCCAAAGAACGTGTCGGTGGCCAGCGGCAAGGCCGTGAACTTCGTGTGCGGGGTCAGCACGGTGCCCGCCGGGGTGCAGGAGCTGCAGCTCAACATCTACAGCTGGAGTGTGAACGCCAGCATCCGTTGCCCCGGCGACAATGTCTACCTGTCCGCTCAGGTCATCATGGGCTACTGTGAGAACAGGGGCAGAGAGCTGCGTGCCGTCTGGAGGATGGCCACCACGGTGAAGGCAGACAACGGGACCTACGTCACCTGCTTCTCCCCGGGGATACGACCAGCAGAGGGGTACCTCTCCATCACCGGTAGGTGTGTGACCTGCTTCGAGCCTCTGCAAGGAAATGAGCTCACTTGCCTCTGTACAGAACCCTTCTGACTGATGATTTATCACTATCCATCCACTTTCTAACCACTTGAACCAGGACAGGGTCGTGGGAGAGCTGGAGCCTATCCCAGCGTGCAACAGGCACAAGGCAGGGCACTCCCTGGACAGGACACCAGTCCATTGCAGGGCACACAGACGTACACACGTATATATCTTTCGACTGTGGGAGGAAACCGGAGCACCC